GAATATAGTATTGTCATCAGTATGACATAAGCACAGCAAGTTTTCAGTCGATACCATATTGGGAAGTGGGTTAAAATTTAGTTACAAGATTTGAGGATATAACGACAACAACAACAACGACAACAACAGGCAGAGTGAGTTAAAAGAAAGCGTTTAAAATATGAACCGGTCCTGGGCCTCCCATAGGTCACCTCAGCCGAAAGTGAAAACGTCAAGGCGTGGTGTAGCCACAGTCAGCGCAGAGGAGATGAAGGTTGTTGGCCAGGCGTGGTTCTGGCCACCCCAGCAGCCCGTTTGGGGCCGTCCATAAATGACGTCACGCGATTTTGGACGATTTTTGACCCCCCCCCCCCCTCGTCACACGGCGTCACAAAAGTCAGACCCCCCCCCCCTCAAATATGACGTCACAAAGCTCTGCCCCCCCCCAAACCATATTTCCATTTTGAAAATACAACATGCTTCAAATCGCTTTAAACTATTGTCATTGTAGTGCGTATTTAATGTGGCGCTGCACTCTGATGTTGTAGGAGTGTTGTTATAACAATTAGTGTTGTTATAACAATTCTATATTCATTTAAAGTTGCGTATTTTGATGTGACGTCACATTTCTCAAACCCCCCTCCCCCGCCCTCGTCACACATCGTCACAAATATCTCACCCCCCACCCCCCCACAAGGTGCGTGACGTCATTTATGGACGGCCACGTTTCGTGTGTCACATGGTCGTTAATAGGAGCTCGCTAATGGAAAACGCCACCATTGGATGATGTTAGGGAACTCGGCGTGAGAGAGTTTCGTGACATCTTTTCGGGGAAGTGTTCTTCTCCCCCCCGTCTTATGAAACCTGAGTGTTTAGAACAGTGGCGGCTCCTGCACAATCTCTCAGGGGGGGCAAATGTCTGGATGATTGATAAGGATAAGGTCCACCCATGCAATGGATAAATTAACAGCTTAAGCATGTAATGGCAACTTCACTTCTTTAATATTAATGAAAAATAAAGTGACTCTTACAATACATCTTGTTTGTTTCTATACTCACTATTAATACAATCCACTCAAGTTTCTTTTATTAAAGATTCCACTAGGTGGCGACAAATTATATTGTTGGATGAAACGTGCTTACGTATGATGACGTAAGCACGTTAGGGCGAGCCCTCCCGGAAGCCATAGAGAATACATTGCAGCGCCCCCCGTTCGAAAAAAAACATCTTTCAATGTAAGTCTATGGGGCCACTCGGGGCGATTCTCAACCAGAGTGAAATCGCCCAAAAAGAGGCGGTACTCCACAGAACGTGATATGACGCTGATTGGACTATATCCAGAGGCACAGTGACGGCTAGCGTGACTCTGTGGTTGAATGACATTGGTGGTGCGTCGCCCAATCGCCCTAATGAAGAAACCGCCCCTGGTTTAGAATATAAACAGATGATGTACATAACTCAAAGGCCTCTGCCCATGCTGGTCAATGCCCATAAATGGACACTGCCCAATGCCTCGTGGTCAATACTGCCAGAGCTGGACACTGCCCAGGATGAAGACTGCCCAGGATGGACAACGCCCATGGTGGACACTGCACAAGATGGACAATGCCTAGGGTGGACACTGCACAAGATGGACAATGCCTAGGGTGGACACAGCCCAGGATGGACAATCCCCATGGTGGAGACTGCCCAGGATGGACACAGCCCAGGGAGGACAATGCCCAGGGTGGACACTGTCCAGGATGGACAATCCTCATTGTGGAGATTGCCCAGAATGGACAACCCCCATGGTGGACACAGCCCAGGATGGACAATCCCCATGGTGGACACTGCCCAGGATGGCCACTAGACAATGTTCATGGTCAATACTTCCATAGTGGACAGCGCCCATGGTGGACAATGCCTAGGGTGGACACTGGTAACAGTTGCCACCCCCGTCAGTACGGACCAATCCCACGGGCTTGCAAGTGGACACGGCAAGTGCCACTCTTGAATTCCCAGGGACTCCGCACCGCAGACACAAACATGATGTTGCATTCATTATCGCATCTTGCCGCGCGCTATTCCTGGAATGGCACCGACACCCCGTGTCTCTGTGAACTCCATGGCGTTTTGCCAAAGTTAAGAACAAAAATAAATAATATTTTAAAATACTTTTTTATGAAACACGCTTTAATGAAATGTACCGTACGATTTAACACGTAGCAGGCTTTCGCGACCAATATTATTCATAATCAACGTTTTCGGGTTGAGATCGCGTTATTTATAAATGTGTCGTAACCCTCCACCACCCGACACGTCCAATCAGCAAAAAAGTGTCACGTTGACAAAAGACAAATAGTTCACCGCTTTAGCCCACCGGTGTGTTGAAGCGTGAAACGTCGCGCCCTTTGAGGTTGCCGTCACATTCGTAACTTACGGCCCCGTCGTCAAACCGCTGGCCGGATGAAGGCTTTAAAACCACGCTGCGTTCGGTCACAAGGGTCAGTTGCTTTGACCGTACGGTCGGCCGGCGAGAGTTGGTAAAACCAAAATTATAATAATCATAAAAAACACAGGACGGGTTCAGATATCATTCGCCGCCGATGCTAACCACGGCCCGAAATAGAACAAACAAAGCTGGTGGAGCAGTGGCAAAACTATTTTGACTTGTTGTTGTTGTTCGTATTGTAAAGTGAGGATATATCCGGGTTGCAGATGGATCACACCTCGTTACGATGATTGGCTCTACTGGTCCTGGCCCATAGCCAATGGGGGGGAAGTCTAGGGGCGTGGCCCTGACGTAATGGGAAGGTGACATCTGTAAGTAGAGGATTGGTTCTGCTGGCTTTAGCCACAGCCAATGGGGGGACGAGTCAGGGGCGTGGTCCTGGGAGCGTACGATGGAGTCTAGAAGATTCCATAGAGGGTAACCAGGATTTTTGGAAAGGTACCACGTGACCCGGGTATCTAAAGGGGTGGAGACGGACAACACGTAATCAGATCTGGAACGAACGGAGGGTGAGGTCACGCTGGAGCGGGGTCCAGGCTGCCACGTGGTCCAGGCTGCCACGTGGTCCAGGCTGCCACGTGGTCCAGGCTGCCCTGTGGTCCAGGCTGCCACGTGGTCCAGGCTGCCACGTGGCCGTGCGTCTCTTTCTCTCACTCTCACGCTGTCTGTCAGCAGCGTGAATGAGTAAGATGGGAGGGTTGTGAACGAAAGACAAATAAAGACCGGATTCCAGAAGTCGCTTCCACGACCTTTATTACAGTATGGTCACGCTTGTTTACCACCGGGAAGCCTCACCGAGTCTCACAACTCTTTTTCAGGAGCGTCCTGCGAAGTTTTCGCAGTAAGACGGCGATGCTGCTGCCGCTGCCGCTGCTGCGTGCAATGCCTGTCGAGTAACTTCCAGGTAAACTTATCAGCATTCGGATGTTTGACCCAATATCATTTACATTGTGTGTGTGTGTTTTAGCTGTAGCTAGGTCGACTCAGCTTGAAATGAGTACCTGGTGCGGTGTGTAAACATTGCTACTGGGGGAGACAAAGGCGGACGGGCGTATCGCTGCAATCTGTTGAGGCGGTACGGGGGATCTTTGTCTTTGTGTGTGCCGGGAGTGGGGAGCGGTGGTGCAGCGGTTAGCGCGCTGCGCTTTGAAACCTGCAACCCGAGTTCGATTCCCGCTCACAGCCAACACAAGTGACAATTATCTGAACCGGTCCTCCCATTGGTCGACTCAGCCTCACGTGAGCATCTGGTTGCGGTGTGTAATATATAAAATGTATATATATAAGATTATTCTTTCGGTAAGGACACGTAGATAGAAGATGAAAAAATAATAATAACAATAATAGCAATAAAATAGTAAAAATTAAAATAAAGTTAATAAAAATAATTAAAATATCGCGACGTTTCGATCGCAACACAAGCGACCGCTTGTGACTTTACCGAAAGAACCGTAGAATATGAATTCCTGCAGTCACGAAAGTTTAAGTCATTAACGATATATTTTTTTCTCACAAATGGCACGAAAAGGCAAAACGAATATGCACGGGGTATCAAACATCTGCTTGGACACAACAAATGAGTCTGGGTGTGAAATATTGAAAATCCACGCAAGTTCGATAACGCCTTGCGGAGTGGGGTGGTAGCAAATTGCCCGTTTCGCGATCGTTAGGCGGGAGGGGGGGGGCATGAAAGTTCAAATCTCAGTTGGTGGCCGATGTTGCCCCCCAGCATTCCTCTGGGTACTAATTAATTAATTAACTAATTACTTCATTGATAATACGGCCAAGAGACCACTTGACGTGTCGGGCATCGGGGGTCTGTCGTTGCCCCGAGTGCGCATTTGAAATGTTTCTCCTGAATGGAATAATTTTATTTTTTCCATTCTACGTGACTTTACCGAAAGAACCAAGAAGATGTTTCTCCTGCACAATATCCCTGCGGCGGCCTGACCCCCCCCCACACACCCGACCACCACTACCCCCCCCCCCCACCACCCCCCGCGCCCCCCCAAAAGGGCTTCCGCCCTCCCCTGAAAGGCGTCACCACGGGCTGTAAGCCGTCGCTTCACCCATCCTCGATTCTAGATTTGAAGCTTTCGTGACTGCAAGGATTCATATTCTTGGGTTTTTTCGGTAAAGTCACGTCGCTAAAATTTTTTAATAAAATTAATAAAAGTTAAATAAATAAAAATTCACGACGTTTCGGAGGCAACACAAGCTTCTGTCTTCAGGTGGAACCGTCACAGCACGCTCGCTGTATCAAGTAAATGAGAGATTACAAGAGATCTGACCCCATATATATATTCTGGTTGAGGGGGATGGAGCCAGGACAGGCCCCCTTTTTATTTTTATTTTTATTATTATTATTTTACTTTTATTAATTTTTTTTACCTACGTGACTTTACCGAAAAAAACCCAAGCATACCATCCCCGATTCCCACCGACGTCCCTCGCGTCACGTGACCCTCACCCCCGTCGCCGCCCGCCGCTGTTCTGTCCGTCCGTCCAAGGTGCGTGACGGGCGCCGGACGTGGGCGGCGCCACCATGAGCTGGGCATTCCTGACTCGTCTGCTCGAGGAGGTGCACCACCACTCCACCTTCGTGGGCAAGCTGTGGCTCACGGCCCTGGTGGTGCTGCGCGTCGTGCTGGCGGCCGTCGGAGGCGAGACCATCTACTACGACGAGCAGAGCAAGTTCGTGTGCAACACGGGCCAGCCGGGCTGCGAGAACGTCTGCTACGACGCCTTCGCGCCGCTCTCGCACGCCCGCTTCTGGGTGCTCCAGATCATCTTCGTGTCCTCGCCGTCGCTCCTTTACCTGGCCTTCGCCGCCCACAAGGTGGCCAAACGGCCGGGCCACGGGCGGTGCCGTCGCGGCGGCGGCGGCGGCGGCGGCCACGGACAGAGCCGCGGCGCCCGCAGGGGCCTCATGATCCACCGAGGGCAGAACCACTTCCTGGAGGAGGGCGAGAGCAACTTGGAGGAGGAGCCCATGATATTCGACGATGCCGTGGGCCGGCAGAGGCACCGGCCCGACAGGGAGCACCGCCACGACGGGCGGCGGAGGATCAGGGAGGAGGGCCTCATGGGCATATACGTCTTCCAGCTCATCTCCCGGACCGCGCTGGAGGGCGCCTTCCTGGCGGGCCAGTACTTCCTGTACGGCTTCGAGGTGGCGGCGCGGTTCGCGTGCGGCCGGCCGCCGTGCCCGCACGTGGTCGACTGCTTCGTGTCGCGCCCCACCGAGAAGACCGTCTTTTTGTTCGTCATGTACGGCGTCAGCTGCCTGTGCCTGGCGCTCAACGTGTGCGAGATGCTGCACCTGGGCGCGGGCACCGTCCGCGACGCGCTGGCCCGGAAGGACCGGGGCTCGCAGACCGCGCCGCGCGGCTCCCCCGAGCCGGCGTGCGGCCGCGAGTCCGGCGAGGAGATGCCCACGGCGCCGTCGCTGCTCCAGTTCGAGCTGCGGCCCATTTCCAAGGCCTCGCAGACGCCCGAGGGCCTCGCCGCCGCCGCCAAGCGGCCCAACGGCGTCGCGGAGCCGAGGCGGGGAGGCGGCGCCGACGTGCCGGACGTCTCCCCGCCGCGGAAAAACCTCGCGGAGGGCGGCGGCGGCGGCGTCGGCGCGGGGGGCCGTCCGAGCCTGCCGGTGGCCGGGGCCGAGCCGGCGGCTGCGGCTGCGGTGGGCGGGGACGGGATGAGGGGTTCGGACAGCGGCGCCGGTTCGAGCGGCACGGCGGACGAGAACGTGGGCGGCGGGGCGGGGTCCAGCGCGATGGAGCAGAACGTGGCCAACGCCCGGCACGAGCGGACCGCGACGACGCACCAGGCCCCCTCCGAGTCGGACAAGGGGGGCAGCACGAGCAGCAAGCAGAACAGCACCCGGTTGGCCGTGTGGATATGACGTCGCTTTTGTATCGCTGCTGCTGCTGCCGTCGTCGTCGTTGCGAATTCGCGTTAGCAGCACGAACGTGCCGACGGAGGGCTGCCCCAATTTGGCTACGCTCGCCGGACGAGGGCCCGGCTCTTGGCACGAGCGCGAGCTGCGGGCGTCCTGATGGGAGTGGGAACGACCCGCTCTTCAGGCAGCTTCCCGGGTGGGACAAAGCGGCGCTGACCGGGGCAGGCAGGCGGCCGTCGCTGCGCGTCGCCGGAGGCGGCTTTCGACGCGACCGCTTCGCCAACGCGGAATTGGCCAGACGGTGCAGCTGAATGCAAAAACAACCTCCTGCTGCGTTGAGTAGCGGGGAGGTGCGGGGGCAGAATGCACCGCTAACGTACGCCATCGGCAGGGGAAAGGAAAACACGTGATTCGTGCGTCCATTCGACAGCGCCGAGTTCGTCAACTTTCCGCTTAAATTCTCGCCCCGCCAGTTTTCGCGAAGCCCCACTTGTAAAGTGTGCAGCCCCCACCCAGACGATCTTGCGTTGATCGTCTGTCGTCCTTCCCTCGCACCACTGATTGGCACGGTGGGCTACGTACGGTGCGAAAGAAGTCCCACAGACGTACGTACAGACTCTTAGTAAAACAATTAAATTAAAATTAATGCAAATAAAATATTCTTTTATTTTTATTAAGTTTTTATTTCATTTTTTTACCTACGTGACTTTACCGAAAAAACTAAGAGTATGAATCCTTGCAGTCACGAAAGCTTCAAATCTAGAAGTACGTACAGACGTCAAGGCGGCCAGCCCAAATCTCGCAGCCCCTGCGCTGAATGCGATGATGTTTCTCTGAATCGCCCGCCCGCTGTGCATTTGACTGCACAGCCATTTCCACGACAAGCCTACCCTGCCACGCAAAAACATAAAACGATGTCTCTAGACAATGCATTTAAACGTTCGAATAAGCCTGAATGCAATAAAGCCATGTGTACATATGTGTATATCGTTCAAGCAGAGTGTTGTGTGTTTCGCTGCGTGTAAACCGGTGTCTGACCCACCAGGGTCACCTTTGAGTAAAATTCAGATGTCAGCTGCCGCATCCTTTACCAATTAACTATTCATGAAGCCACAAAGGATAAACAATATATATATTAATAATTCCCCCCCTTCCACCCCAACCCCCCACCTTTAAGGCAATACGCATTCCCGCTGTCACGTATAAAAAGCCTTAACGGGATGTTTGGGGCAAGCGCCGTTAGCGAGAAACAGCAGCACCGACGAATGACATCACAGCGCACGAGCGTGTGGTACGACCAACACAACGCCCGGGCTACCTTCATGTCACGAGTACCACACCGGCGTTTGCACACGGCACCAGGTGCGCAACACGCAACACGCGCACGTCTGCAACTACGGGGGCCCGTAGAATGCACACCAAATTCTACGACAGGTCACGATACACCCGGCAAAGGGGTATCAACGAGGTTCTCCCGCAGACAATGCGAGTCTAACGCTCTCCCTCCGGCGCGGTCTTTCCGGGGGTCCGTTACGCCGAGTTGTGTCGGCACCGTGTCCGACGTTTCGCTCCGCGTGCTGGGATGCTTCGTCGGCAAACGGAGGACACCGGGCAAGAACGACGATGCGCTGTGACCCGATGGCACGTTGGGAGGAGCTGTACAGGACAAGCGCGGGAGGGAATAAACGCTCTAAGGCAGGGGTGGGGAACGCCGGGCCGTGGGCTGTACGAGGCCCGCGAAATCATTTGGTGTGGCCCCTGCCAAGGCAACCGCAGGCGAGACTCGAAGTTCAATAAATCTAGGAGCAAAAGCAGTTGCGAGTAGCAGCAACATCATCAATACCAGCTAACATCACACGCCTCGCCAAAGAGAAGCAGTTCCAGCCCATCACATTAGGGGTGAGTTGATTAAATGTTTGGGCAAATATAACCGGCAAATTTTTAAGTTGATAATTTTGTATGATCCGCGAATGATATTATAGATATCCAAATGGCCCTTGGCTGAAAAAATGTTTCCCACACCTGCTCTAAGGAGTCCCACGCACGCTCACTCACTCTCTCTCTCTCTCCCCGCATTCCCATTCTCAAAATGTTTCGACCCTTCCCTCGCCTGAATGTGAACGTAGATGTCATCAGGGTGGTGCCGCAGACGGACGAGGTTTTTTGTGAAAGAGAAAAAAATGTTTGCCAAACAAAGGTATCCCATGATGTAGCGCTGCTCAACCTGAGCTCTGAATGCTCTGATACGTGTGACATTGTCTCTGTATTAATTCTAGATTTGAAGTTTTCGTGACTGCAAGGATCCATACTCTTTGGTTCTTTCGGTAAAGTCACGTAGGTGAATAATAAAAATGATGATTAAAATAATAAAATGAAAATAACTAAATTAAATCACGACGTTTCGGAGGCAACACAAGCTTCCGTCATCAGGTGGAACAGCCACAGCAAAATGACTACAGAAAAATTACTGCAGTAATTACTACAGTATTTATATTATCAAGAGTTTTTTGCATGTTCGCCACAAGTATTGTGTGGTTAATGCAGACTTGATTCCATGCAAGAGGTATCCATTTCTAGATTTGAAGCTTTCGTGACTGCAAGGATTCATATTCTTAGGCTTTTCGGTAAAGTCACGTAGGTAAAAACATTTAAATTAATAAAAGTAAAATAAAACAAAATAAAAAATTCACGACGTTTCGGAAGCAACACAAGCCTCCGTCTTCAGGTGGAACCGTCACAGCCACGACAGCTGTATCAAGTAAATGCGAGATCACAAGAAATGCCACCCCGTATATATAATGGTTGAGGGGGGGAAGGGCCAGGAACGGCACACTTTTTAAATCCTTTATATTAAGTTCGCTTGCGTGCTTGCTTGCTTGCTTACGACCGTGCAAATCTTTCGGTCGTTTTTTAACCCACTTCCCGTGATCCAATCGAGCTGACATTTTGCACACAGACTCGTTGTGCGAGACAATTAATGTTCGTGAAAAAGAATTTCCAAAATTTTACACTGTTTAGGGAAAACAAATTAAATATTTAATTACCAATTTCTTAATACTGGCAGACAATCATCTGACCCATAGGTGGCAGCCATCTCAAGCCAGAGGACGAGAGGACTCTAGCTGCCACGCATATAAAGGATTTATAGTGAAAAACTTTGTTTTTACGGGTTATACTTATTTATTAATATGGTAAGGTGAGGCTTAAGACCAAGAGTAGACTGCATAACAAAGGACTGAGCCTTTGTTATGGACAGAGGTGCGGTTTGTAACTAACACCTAGCATACTTTTATTAATTTAAATTTTTTTACCTACGTGACTTTACCGAAAAACCTAAGAATATGTATCCATTTGGTCTTTGAACATCTTCATGCCACTTGTTTTAATTTCCACAAAAGGTAAAACCCATTCCTATTTTTCATCCTTCGATAGTGGCAAAAAAGTTCCATGACACGGAGGAGACTTTAGCTGTCTGCAGTAAAATTGGAGCCCACAGATGCCCTCCTGAATGCGCGATCACACTTCGCCCCGACTCCCATTACCCGTGGGAGCTGCAGGGCACGCGGGAAACCTCCAAATTACACTTCCCCATTTTTCGTCCCGCTAGATAAGTGGAGTAATTTTGCGGATAACCCGGCAGATGATAGGATCCACGAATGTTCGTCCCTTCCCCACCCTCCACATCGCATGGCATCGCCGTGAATGAGAGGATGAAGAGATTATTTCTTTTTCTTCTTGGTTCTTTCGGTGAAGTGACGTAGAAGGGAAATAATAAAATAATAAAAATAAAACAATAATAAAAATAAAACATAATAAAATAAATATTTTTGTGAGAATTATTTTATTTGATTGCTTTATTTTTTTATTTTATCTTTTCCCTTCTACGTGACTTTACCGAAATAACCAAAAAGATGAATCCCTGCAGTCACGAAAGCTTTAAATCGAAATTATTTATTTTGTTCTATCTTGCTCTTAACATTCTCAACAACGACGATGCATCACGAAGGATTTCTGGTAGGGCACGATGCACGTTGTTTTTGCGTCCAACTATGACCCACTCCTCACAACAACAACAACAACAATGCCTCTTCTTTGTTCTTTCGGTAAAGTCACGTAGAATGGAAATAATAAAATAATAAAAATAATACATAATAAAATAATTCTCACGACGTTTCGGCCACAACGTAAGCAGACGTCCTCAGGTGGAGAACAGGTCTGTCGAGAAGACAGCGTCTGAATGACACACCCCAGGCTTGGAGCGTCTATTTAACCAAGAAGATGAATCCCTGCAGTCACGAAAGCTTTAAATCGAAACAAAAATGCCCCTTGCCGAGAGACATCCGCAAGCTCGCCAGCATCGACGGTTCAAGCAAGCCTGACTCGGTGAGCTGACGAGGCAACGATTGTCGAAACCGGTCCAGAGTTTGTTTTAAAAAAAGCGAACGCGACCCAAGAGATGCACTCTCCCAGAAGGCTCGTATGGCCGATGGGTTGTTAACAAACAAACAAAAAACTGCTTCTTCTTCGGTGGAAAGACAAGTATGGGAAGGACGGCGTTATTTATTGGGAATAGAGAGGATTTATTTTTATCCACCCGGAATTGATGAACGGTGTCACATGAAGTTTTGCATTACACCAGATGGCCTTGACGCTGGATGGCCAGGCCGTAAGCAAGTTGCCAATGCACGCACGGTGGCGAGTGGGAATGAGATACAGCGCCGCTTGCTAGGATGGGGAAAAAAATATCTGACTGTTGCAAAGCTGTTAAAAGTGTCATTTCAAAAAATATCTAAAAAAAATTAACCCGTAAAAACAAAGTTTTTCACTATAAATCCTTTATATGCGTGGCGGCTAAAGTCGTCTCGTCCTCTGGCTTGAGATGGCTGCCACCTATGGATCAGATGATTGCCTGCCACCATTAAGCAATTGGTAATTAAATATAATAATTTTTTTCCTAAAAAGTGTACAATTTTAGAAAAAAATGTTCACGAAAATAAATTGTCTCGCACAACGAGTCTGTGTGCAAAATGTCAGCTCGATTGGATCACGGGAAGTGGGTTAAAAAACGACCGAAAGATTTGCACGGTCGTAAGCGCGCAAGCAAGCAAGCAAGTGAACTTAATATAAAGCATTTAAAAAGACAACCGCCAGTGATAAAACGCGGGTTCTCAAGTGCAGAAAGTTCATGGTCTTCGTCTGGTCACCGAAGGAATTCACAACAAAAACACCGTCATGTTACATGAGGGTTTTTTTATTGAAGCCGATTTGATTCCAGCAACTCAGAATATTGAAATTGGTCAGACGTGCTAACGACAATCTAAATACTAAGAATTTACATCATATTGTCTTCATATTAATAATATAAGCATCTCTAGATGCTCTACAGGAGCAACAGATGGTATTGCATTATGCGGACAAAACTTTCGAGTGACCTCGCACACAATAGCAGTAAAACCAAAAATACAATCTAGAATAAACTAGATTCAATTATGAAAGGCAAAACAAATCCGACTGGGCCGTATACTTTCCTACAGAGACTCCTCTGCGTACGAACGTTCAACTTCTGAACTTTCAGAGACAGGAACAAACATTAATTCGAAGCTTGCGTGACTGCAGGAATCCATACTCTTTGGTTCTTTCGGTAAAGTCACGTGGGTAGAAAAATAACAGATCACGACGTTTCGATCGCAACACAAGCAATCATCATCAGGTGGGACAACCACAGCAAGATAATAACTGCCGAAGTAGGCGAGAGGTCTGCCGTGGCACGAGGTTATATAGTGTAGTGTATAGTGTAGTGTATAGTAGTGTATAGTGTAGTGTATAGTGTAGTGTATAGTGTAGTGTGTAGTGTATAGTGTAGTGTGTAGTGTATAGTGTAGTGTATAGTAGTGTCTAGTGTAGTGTATAGTGTAGTATATAGTGTAGTGTATAGT